AAATCTACTCTCTCTCAAGATCTCTCTGGTACTTATAGTATCTCCAAACTCTATAGTTACGGGTCTTGTTGTTCACAAATGGGGGTTAACTGAGTTAACCAGAGGGCAAAATCATTGTCCCGACACGCTCGGTCACACATCCATGACCATTTTTCCTGTGGAAAGATAATGTATAACCCTGAGCCCATACATCAGGCACACAAAACTCATTTAACTCACAAGCACCTAAGGAAAAAAGCACAGAGTGGTTAATAAACACAAAGCTCTGAGGGGGGCTCAAAGCTGCATGTGAGAGAGTCAAAGGAATTCTACATTCCCCAAATATTTGTAAACAGGATATTTTTAACAGCCCCCCTCACAGCCTGTTTGTACAAGTTACATTTGTGGGCACTTCAGCAAATTGAGCTTATAGGATCAATGTTATTTACTGAAACTGATAAGATGATAGTTCATAGAGAAACTATAAAGGAGCAGGTCTGTTCTTTAATGTAAGCAACGTAAGTAATTTTAACAAGAAATTTAACAACTTATGGGCTTCAGTGATAATGTATAAAAGAGCTTTTTATAAGCTTTATCCAGTTACATATGTCAAATGTAGCCTAATTATTTTTAGGATTTGACTTTGGCTATTTCATTTTTTCATTTTTTTTCTGACTACATTTAAATGTTTGCATATTTGCATTTTGTCATGAAGTACCATAAGACCACAAAGAGCCAGGGACTAAATTGGAAAACCACAGAAAAGGGAACATAAACAGCCAGGGAGACAAGCCTACAGTGTACACTGGCCACTTTATTAGGTACATTAACATGACAGTGTCCCACACAGTTCAGGTTACACACACATGCATCACAGCATGTAACCCCCAGTGGCCTAATGGATAAGGCACTGGCCTCCAAAGCCAGGATTGTGGGTTTGAGTCACATATAGGGGGATTTCCAGTAGTTGAAGTGGGCCCTTAACCCAGAGCGCAATGAATTGGAGCCATCCTCATTTGACCCGTGGTCTTTACACTGGTTAACTGTGTTGCTACAATTCCATAACGGGAATCTCCCCTGTTACCATAACCCAAATGTGCTCTATTGGAATGAGATCTGGTGACTGTGCAGGTCTAACCAGGAGTTGTTTTTAAGGCTTTCCACATGCACATGTAAAAAGCAGATTGGAGTCAACAGATTATATGAATTATATATTTCTTTGCCGCTGGAGGGCACCCAAATGTCAACTAGTCACTGAAACTTGCAAAGTACAGGGAAGCACCGTGACTGTCAAACAGATAGGGGTGGCAAAAGTGCATACATTCTTTGCTTAAGTAGAAGTATAGACATCTGTTTTAAAAATGACTCTGGTAAACACTGAGGTACTGACTCAACATCTGTATTCAAGTTGAAAGTAAAAAGTGGTCCAAAGTAAGCTCTTTAGGAGATTTCCACCAGCGTTTTTTTTTTTTTTGCCAAGCTAACTGACCTAACTGAAAATAATAACAAGGGAACAAACTTTCTAATGATTTTGCTCATCTTGACTACCTGTGATGTAGAACAAAGTGAATTTTTAAGAATAGCTCTATGCTGCGTGATGTAACCTAGCACTGTGGTTGTGTGAGTCTCTAGGTCAGGGGTCCCCAACTCCAGGCCTCGAGGGCCGGTGTCCTGCAGTTTTTAGATCTCACCCTGGGTCAACACACCTGAATCAAATGATTAGTTCATTACCAGGCCTCTGGAGAACTTCAAGACATGTTGAGGAGGTAATTGAATCAGTTGTGTTGGATCACGGACACATCTAAAAACTGCAGGACACCGGCCCTTGAGGCCTGGAGTTGGGGACCCCTGCTCTAGGTCATCATGCTCGAAGACACTCCACTCTGTGAGGGCAAAACACTCCTGCAACTGAGCGAGAGCTTCCTCAGAAAAGGTGCTAATGGTTCTGATGATGGGCTTTGTCTTTTTCCTGAGTGGTGTGTATGCCGGGACAACGAGCAGAGAGAGGTGGTCGGACATACTCAGGTGGGGGAGGGGAAAAGATCTGTAGGCTTGCTTAATATTTGAGTAAACATGGTCCAAGGTGTTATTCTCTCTCGTAGGGCATTTCCCATGTTGAACAAATTTAGGCAGCACATTTCTTAAGCATGCTTTGTTGAAATTTTGTTTTTATAGCTCATCTGTTTTAATTACAGCTTAAAGATTGCATTATTAGGGGTGTGATTTTCTTCAGTTTAAGAGGTCAGAATAGTATTTACAAAGAAACACAAAAATATTGTTTCCAGGCAAATGTGTCTGATTAAAACATATCATTTGAGATGCTTGTCTGCACTTTCCATATACGTCTACACCCTTCTGCACTCCTTCCTGGCTGAAGAAGTGTAAATATAATTGCTTCCATAATTATACACTACGTTACTAAAAATAATTTGTGAGTGGGAAAAGTGGTGGAGGAACATTTCAAATCATTCCTTTAGGAAAAGAAGGACTAAAACTTTTTGAAAACACTTAAGTACACATAAAACTGTATTATTGGAAAATTGTGCATAAGATATCAAAGTAAAAATAATTATTATTTATAAATAATAATTATTTTTGTTAGCAGCCTGTGTCTCTGGTTTCAAAAGGTTAATATGATGACACTGGGGGTTTTGCGGTTTATTTAAAATTTCCACAACAACACACAAAGCACAAAGCTCCAAACCAGTGAGTGGCATCAGAGCGGTTTTAAATAAAGGGCTAATAAGCATCACACAACAGGACACACATTGTTTAATTGGCCTTTAATAAAGATGATTCCGTCCTTCAAATGCTGCATTATTAAATGTTCCTTATTTATTCCACAGTGTAAAAATATCTTTTGCACAGATTTCTGAAAGGCTCAGAGTTTTCAAACTTTAAATCTTTCACTTTCAGTTTTCTGTGAACTCCATGGACACAAAGTGTGACATTAAATCCTTATTTATACTTCAAAAAAGATGAAAACGTGCTTAAGCAGCAAAAAAGTGAAGTCCGGATAGCACAGACATTCAGAATCAAATTTATATGGAAAAAAAAAAAGTGTCATTAAGGGAAAAAAACAAAAACAGCCGAGTTTGATAGCAAGGTTCACCATTTCATTCATCATTGAAGAGAGAAAAAAAATCAAAACAAAACCATGTGGGAATTAGAAAATGTAAGCTTCACGTCATCTCATGTCCTCAAAATGGCCAGTAATATAAATTAAAAGCTACTGTTCCCTTTGAAAATCCTACAAGCTCAAGAAACTGAAACAGATTTTGACAAGGCAAGACAGAAACCCTGCAAATAAACTTTGTGGTGTTCTCCAGGGCTCTATTTGAGGACTCCTGTAACTTTAGAATAATCACAGCCTTGTTTTCACAGAGGAGGGTCCCGCCTGGTGTCACAGTGTTTGCTGTATTACAAACAAAATGAAAATACAAAGAAACACTTCATGCAAGGGAGTATGTTTTAAAAACATACTTTTCCAAAAACAAGAAAACATTTTGACATCCGTACAGTACATCCATGACTTATGTTAACTTACTTAACCACTTTGTGTTTTGTTTGGATTCACCGAAAGTAGAAGAAATCAGTAAGTTAAAAATCAAAACAAAAAGAAATTTCAGGACAACATTTCGATTGAGATGTTAGCACATCGTTTACCAAACAGTCACAATAAAGGATAAAGCCTAATTCTTCATCATCTTTTAACATATATTCATTTTTTAAATACACACTTTTGCACCCAATCATGTTTTGTTAATACATTTTGGTGTGTAGGTAGATACGTAAAGATGATATGACTTCTTCTGTCTCAGATAAGATATCCGAGGAAATTGTATGAATAGCAGACTTTGCATGTGGCGTAAACCTCAAACCCTCTGGGTGAAGTTTTCGGGGAAAACGCCTTTGGCTGAAATATCTTTCTTCTGAAACCAGTGAGACTCCTTCAAGCCCATGAGCCAGCCATCATCCTACAGACACACAGAGTACAATCAAAGATTAAACATAAAAAAGTTTTATAGAAACTATTTTTTTCTTTTTACATCATACAGCTCAAAAATAATCACAGGAAAATATGTTACAATTAAAAAAAACTCTAGAAAGAGATTATACAAAGGGGAACACAAAGCATAAAAAATATTTAGCTGAAAAAAAAGAAAAGAAAATGCCTCAATATAAATTCAAAGACAAGTCAGATAACCTTTTCCTGTCATGTAGAGTGATGGTAAAAAGAAGGTACTACTAGTAAAAAAGCATCCTGGTCTTTAGCAGGGTTTAAAATTTGGTAAATACAGCCTCAGGTAAACTACATAAATGACTTGTAAAATTGTTATTATTCATCTAAGAAAAAAAAAGTACATCTAAAATTCAACCAATAAGTATGAACATCTCTATGAACGCAGAAGTTTGGGTAGTTTGCTGCTTTACTCATGAGCATTCAGGAGTCTGTTAACACAATGCCAAAGAGAGAAAGACAGCAGCAATGATCACAGAGAAGCAACCGTTGCCGCCCACAGGACCTGGACACCTTACAGTCATCAAGTCGACCATGAACCACTAAAGCGTTCTAGAGTAAAAGATGTGGTGAGATGCTTTTAAATCCTCAAGTTTGAGTAGACGTGGCTAGTCACTTTAAATCAAACTTGAATGTTTTTTTTCCAGAAAATGTTTGATAATGTGTCGTTAAGCTGAGCTTATTGACGCTATGAGCTGCAGTTCAACATGGTGGCGTTGGAGTCAATTTCACAAGATGAGGAGCTCAATAGCAGGACATGCTAAAGCTGTATTTTGCCCGTGTGTGCTATATAGTCATCTCAGGCACACCATCTGCTGTTCAAACCTTTTGTTTCCGAGGGGCTGCTAACGAAAGAAAGATGACACATGGAGGAGGATCTAAATCAGCTTGTTTCAGACAGAGAGCAAACTGATGGGTTCCAGTATAGGATAAAAAAAGAGTTATTTTGAACTGTGGATCATGCAAAGCTACTCTAGTGTAGTGCAAGAATAAAAACAAGAAGCTGAAATAAGCAGAATGAGTCCACTTAAACTGACCTGTTCATCTGGGTTGTCAAAGGCCAAAACCAACACCAGGTCTCCCATCTTCAGTTCCAGCTCATCACCATCAGTAGCAGCATAGTCGTGTACCGCTTTCACCTGGAGAAAACAAAACAAACGTTTCCCATTTACATCTGATTTGCATATGAAGTCTGTAAAACTGAATCTTTTTAGAAGGTGCAGGATGTTACCTTCCTGTAATTAAGCATAAAAATTTGGTTCACTTACCTTGTAGAGGAACCCTGGAGGGAGTTCGCCATCTGAGCCATTGGTCACCGCACTCTGGACCAACAATACACAGAAAAATCGAGATATATAATTCAGGAAGTCTTTCAAATGCTCCATTTGGTTAATAATAGAAAGGTTAGAAGTATGATAGAGTAAAAAGTAGATCAAAGTGGAAGAAAAGAAGATCAGGAAGATGGCTTTTTAGGGTGCTTTCCCCAGATTTGAGGGATTCTTGACTTTTCAGCATCTAGCTGAGGTCCCACCTGCCCCAATCCATCCAACTCTACCTGTGTGTATTGATCATCACCCCAGCCCCCCTGTTCCACATTGGCACCATCGTTGTCCCAGTTGGGCTCGGTGTATGGCTGAGCCACATAGTCTGTGTCGTCAATCCAGCCCTCCTCACCCACCGCCGTCTCTGCCTCATCCCAGCCAGGCTGACTATAACTTTGGGCGTTGCTTTGGCTGTAATCCCATCCACCTTGGGCTTCTTCTTGGTACTGGTCATCATCATACTGCTGTTCAACCTCTGTGGCAGTCTGTTCTTGCTATAAAGGTCAAGCGTTGTGGAGCATTGTGACAGGTTTGTAAGCATAAAGGTTGGGTAGGTGGATGGATGAGGGTGGCAGAGGAGCATTTGGGTTTAAAGAGTGTAAGAGGGTTGTGCAGGGCATTAAAAAGGAAGGTTTTATAGCATGAAAGGAAGAATTGAAGAGCTTATTTCATAGTCCACAAATACAGAAAAATGTAAGAAAAAAAAGTGTAGTTGTGGTTTTCTAAGAGAGCCCTTAATTAAAACATAAAGAACCCATGCTTACCCATGAGTCCCATGATGCCTCCTTGCATGGAGCAGTAAGAATTGAGACAAGCAGTGAGACAGAAGAGTACAAAGAATCTTTTTCACAACGATTCATGCAAGTGCACAATTCATGTGATTTAGCCCCCTTTTAAAAGAATAAACTAAGCCAAACTTCAAAAACCAAACAAATTGCATAAACTGTTGATGCACTAATCTATTATTTGCTTGCATTATGAACCTTAAGAGAACCCTATAAGCACCAATCACCGTTTTTGGGCTAAATCTGGTATTGCCATTCGAGGTTTTTTTCAATCGTCACTTTTTAACCACTTTTAATCAAAGTCATCCTCAAAGCCTTCTCAGCCTGTTTTTGTTTGATGGGAAAGAGCTAATAAATACTAAATCCAAAACAAAGACAACAAAGGAGAACCAGCTGAATGCATGAAAATGTTTACAGAACAGCAAAGACATTTCCAGGATATCCCTCTATTGTCAAAAATCAATGAACATCACCAGTCAGTCCATCTGCATGCAAAGCAAAGCTGGAAGAACTTAGACATGCAGTGAAGAGGTTAGATCTTTCCAAATAAAGCCCAAACACACACCAAGAGACTGCAGTTACATGCAGTCAGAATTTTATTTATTTATTTATTTTTACTTCTAAGCTTTTCAGATTTAGCTGTAAGTGGTAATTACAACAGCTGCACTTCTGAACGGTACCCTACATTTTTCTTTTTGCACCATTAATTAATGTATTTATTTTTACATAAACTTTTTGAGCCTTTTGCCTTAGATAGTGTTGGGGTGGAAAGTGGAGGCAAAGGGCCTCAGGTTGAGCTCGGGTTTAACTTAAACACAATCCCTTTACCTGGGCAAAGCACACCCACCTGGGGAGCTGTACAGGTAACGGCCTGAAATACATCCACATCCCAGTCCAGCAGGTTCACCCCTGACCAGGGCTCACACTGCTTCACACACACACACACACACACACACACACACATATACACACCAAATCCATGTTAGGGACGTGTAAAAGTGGAGACTGTTTACATTTGCTAGCGTCTGATGATTTAAGAGATGCTGATGTTCTTTTAAACCAGCGACTCCTCAAGTCTATGCTGCTGCTGCACCCTAGAGGATCTTAAAGTTACTGCAGGTGGGTCATGAGAGTACTTTATAATGAATGCATTTGTAATTTCAAACTTTGTAATTTATCAGTATTCATAATTTTAAAGAGTGAACTTTTGTCAGGGTCACTCTAAAGTTAAACCTTATTCCCTATTTCACTTTACTTCCTGTTTTATTTTGAAGGTTAGATTCTGGTGTTTTTATGTCAGTCTTTATCAGGCCATTGTTGTATATGCTTTGTTTTCTTCTACTGATTCTCTGTGTTTGTAGATTTAAACTTTTCCTTCCTTCTTTGTGCAGCGCTGTGTTGTTTTTTTATTAGATTAGTAAATAAGGTGCCATTTTGACATTGTCATTTTCAGTCTGCATTTGTTTTTCTGCAGGGATACACTTTATTACCAAAGATAACACTAACATTAAGACTAAGTTAACAGTGATTTTGAATGAGGTTTGGGATTACGTTGTTCCTCAGGGCTTTACCCCAGGCCTTTTTCCCCCCTCACTCAGATACCGTAAAACTCGAGTTTCCTGTCAATAATGGAAACACATATCAGTGTGTTTTACTTAGTAGTGACTTTATCTTCCTATCTTCCCCGACCTAGTCTAACAAGGTATTTCTGTCAAAGTCATACAGGATACCCAGAACATAGACATTTTGCAGTCAGCCTGACCTGCAGCGTCGTGGTCGTGGAGTCTGTGTTAGTGTCATGCACTGAGGGCTCATCCTCAAATGGGCTGACATTTTGCTGTTGCTGGTTCGGAGATGGCGTCATTCTTGGTGGAGGCCGACTGGGAGGTGGGCCAGGAGGCGGAGCAGACCTCTGTACATCCAGGAGGCGTTAAATCAAAATCACACAGCACCATACACATGCAAAAGCAGTGAGGGATACACAGGCATGGTAGTAAACAGAAGTAATGCGTGTGTGTGTGCGTGTAATATGATGTTGCTTTAGAGGTTAGGGAATTCATTTTCTCACAAATTTGTTTGTTAGTGTTTGTTAATCATCATAAAAATGAAATACTAACTAACAACTGACAATCTAATTAAAGTGCAAATACATTCAAACATCCATAGAGACAATCATTTTAATCACATTTTAAGTTGATTTTAAAGAGACGTTTACAGCAAAACTTCCTCTAATGATTTGTTACATTAAAAAAAAAAAAAAGGATTCATCTTATTTTTTTTGACATTTTAAGATTTTATGAAACCTTTTAACATTCAGTTTAGGGTGTTTGGGGATTATTTAGTTTTTTATTTTTTCATTTTACCTTTGGTGCTGAGCTGGCCGACTCACTGTGGTTGGCTCCCTCACTGAGACAAGACAAAAAGAGACAAAGAAAGAGAGAGAAAAATGAGGGGGAGAGGAAAAACAAGGGAGGACCTGAGCAGGAAATTACTCTGCACAAATAATAAAACATTAAAAGCATTTAAACCATACATGCAGTTCTGAGGTCTGTCCACAAGAAGGCAGCAATGAACTTTAAACAAACCTCTGTATCACGATTTCAAAAGCGTGCACATGACATCACAGACTTTGGTTATCGGGTATCAAACAACACAAATAGGAAGTATTTAATGTGATTTAAAAGGTCACAGCTTCTTCATTATTACTAACAGTTTGGCTGAATTTCTAATGTGTACTTGCAATGTAGAGATGGAGGGATGCCCACATACAGGTTCCAATCTAGGCTGGTGGAAGCACCTGAAAACTCCTGCACAGCTTAGATAAATGCTTTTGTACTATATAGATACTATATGTTATTATTCTATATTTTAGCACCTCTGAGTCAGTGAACATGATAATCAACCAGAAAAGCAGGAGGATGTTGTGCCCATCTTTTATATACAGTCTGTAGCCAGAATCAAGCACATGCATCACTTCAATCTTCAGACATGAATCAGGTGGTTGCATGAAAAACACTCATGCTCATCAGCTTGTTTCCCACCAGGTGACGCCTTAAAGAGCAACAGATTTTACCTCTTTGCACAGTCTTCTGTCTTTGACGCTGCAGTAGCACCTTTTCTGCAGCAGGGGGCATCGTGATGGACATTACTCTCCTTTCCTTTGCATGTTGTTGATCTTTTTTAAAAAATTATTATTATTATTATAACTTTATATTATAAGCTTACTTGATTTGCCTCTGCTCCTCCAGTTTGGTCATGATGTCATTCAGGTTTTCACTGAGCTGTGGAGACGCACAGAGGGCGTGTCGATTACAAACTGATCAGCGTTCACTTCAATGTGATCAGTTAGTTTGACTCACTTTGCTCATTTCTTTGTGGAACTTCTCCCGATGACCTGCCAGGCTCTGGAATGTGTTAACATAGACGCCAACACGCCTACAAACACACACGCACGCACATTTTTAAAAATTTGATCTAAGGTGTCAAAAAAGATTTCGATGAAGAAGATGACAGTTTTTGACCTGTCCCAGAGTGCCGGAAGCTCGTCCTGTAACTCCACATTCAGCTCCTCAAAAATTTTCTGAGCTCGGCCCAAATCCTCCTCCGCCTACACACACACACACACACACACACACACACACACACACACACACACTTAATAATGGCAAATTTCAATGTCTTTAACACATCTCTAAATAAATAGAGTTTTCCATAAGCACACAAGCATGCAGGCAAATACAGGGTTTCATACAGGAGCTACTG